GCTCCACTTGGGCGGCACGTCGGCTGCCGCTCGGTTCCGCAACTCCGCCAACAGCGCCGAGTGCTTCTCGTGCTTCACCTCCTCGCACTGCCAGATCTTGGCGAACGCGTTGGCCTCCTCGTCCACGACATCCAGCGGGCAGTCGGTGACGCCGTTGGTCGTGCGGAGCTCCTCCTCTATCCTGTTGGGCCGCTTGAGAATCCTCTGGGGCACCCCTGGCTTCTGCTCTGCTGCCGCCAGCCACTGCCCAGCGCTTCGCACGTTCTCCCTCATGTCGCGGTCGACTGCTGCTCTCCTCTCCCCCTCGGCTTGCTGGGCCATGCCGTCGATGATGTCCACGCCAAGGTCCTCCAGCGATGCCATCCTCTGCCTCCACATGCGCTTCGATGCAGCAGCGCCTTCTCGGTGGCCTCTCCTCCTGCCTGCGGCATGCCGTCCTGCGCCAGGCTGTGCCCTGCCTGCACGAGCGCCTTCCTGCCGGGCTTTGCCTCGGTTCCTCCTCTTCAGCTTCGTGAGCGCCGAGGGCACGACCCCCGCTCGAGCCCACCAGCTAGCTTGGTGTACACTGTACTTCTCGCGCCTCTCGCCGGGCTCTTCGTTGGTCATCTTCTTCAGCTAGCAGGCCTGGCCCCTGCCCGTGCAGTAGAACTTCTCCAGCTGTTCCGATGATGTTCGCGAACTGTGTACTCAGTGACTTCGCCGCTTCCTCATCCACATGGTACGCTGCGCATCTGCTGGTGTACCCTGGCACCGGCCGGTTCCCCATGGAGTGTTTCCTGTAGCCCTCCAGGTGTGATCCAGACGTGGCCCATGGAGGTAGTGTCGGTGTTGGCTGCTGCTTCTCTGATCTTCAGCTTCATCTCGTGCATCGTGCCCTCCGTGGGCTTCGTGAGCGAGGCCCCCCGACGATGCCTCTCGCTGCGTTCGCGGGTCTCACGGCCTCCACGGGCTGGCCTAAGCCAGTCTTCCCCTTCGTGTTCCGACTGGCCAGGCCCAGGGCGCTGGCCTCGCTCTGGTACTGGCGAGGTCCTGTTGGCCGTGTTGTTCGTCGCCGAGTCCGCGCCATGCCTTCCGGGCCCGTCAGGGGCCTCCGCATCGCCAGCAGCTGGGGAGAACTCCCGGCGTGCGCGCTGCTCCTCCTCGATCCTCGCAGCCAGGCTCTCGAGTGGGTCGATGCTGTCGTCCTCTGTCCACTGGGCTCCGTCCCTCGTGCTGGCGCCAGGGCGTCCAAGGGTCAGGGTGAACCTGCTTCCTCCAGCTCTCTTTTTCTATGCGTTCGCTGTGCACCGTGATGTCGATGTCCATGCCGGCTTCTGCATCTCCCATCCTTGGCTTCATCTCGAATGCCTCGTCTTCCTTCGGCTTCGCGAGCGAGGCCCCCTGACGATGCCTCTCGCTGCGTCCGCGGGTCTCGCGGCCCCCGCGGTCTGGGCAGTGCTGGCCCCCCCCCCTCCTCCCTTTCCAACTGGCGTGGTCCAGGGAATTGTCCACGCGCTGGTAGTTGCGAGGTCCTGTTGGCCGTGCTGTTCGTCATTGAGTCCGCGTCATGCACTCTGGGCCCGTCAGCGGCCTCCGCTTCGCAGTCTGCCCGCACGGTCTCCCGTCTTCCGATCCGCGTCTTCGCAGTCTTCGCATCCAGGTAGTTGCCGCCCAGGTCTGCCCATGGCACGCCTCCCATCGAGTAATTATGTCTCTAGATGTCCATGTCCAACAAACCAAGTGGCGACCGGACCGGAGTCAGCATTTTTCTGGACTAGCTTGGGATCTGCGTTCTCAGCAAAAGCGTTGGTGACCGAACCCAAGACAGCGCCCCTAAGGACTGGCTCGGGAATGTGCGATCTAACGCCGATGGGAGAACCAACCGCGTCGCGGCCCTCGGTCTCCTGCCACTTGGCGCCGCCCGCGTCCACCAGGTGCCTCTCGTCCTCCTGTTCAGCAACTGTCTCCAGGTAGGGGTGCACGCTCCAACCGACGCTGCCGACGGGAACCAGGGCCTCCCACCTGTCCGAGTCCAGCTTGCTCTCGCAGTCCTCGTCGCCTGCGCCTCCGCGTGGAGCGTGAACTTCAGCGCTGTGCGCGGCTTCCACGGCGCGTCGTAGATTGCTTTCACGCCCTTGGTTAGTTGCTGTCCCGACTCGTTGACCAAAGCGAAGTCGATCTGCGACTGGCTGTCTCCGAGCTGGCACGTGTACTCGTCGCCGGGCAGGGAGATGACGGCCGACGCCCCCATCGCCGCGGGCCAGCCCGAGTCCCACATCTCCTGTGGCTGCATGTTGAAGTTGCCGCATGCGATGCAGGCGCCCACTACTAGCTCTTCCTGCAGATGATGCCCTCCTGCAGCGGCTGCCCCCCGTCCAGGTAAGTACCTCCGTGATTGACGTGCCCTTCAAGTGCTGTGCGACTGGTGTCCAGTCGCACAAGTCCAGGTCGGCCTTCCACCTGCCCCCGCTCACGTCGGTGGTCGCCTTCGTGGCAGCGTTCGGCCTGGCCTGGCTCTGAAACGATGAGGTCCGCAGGTGTCTCCTCATGAAGACCGCGGCACCTCCAAAAGTGCCCAGCTCCGATCTCGAGCTGGCCCTCGCAGCGGCGAAGCACGACTCGAAACCCATCTGCACCAGATCGTGCTCCGTGCTCTCCAGCGCAGCTTCGCCCGCGTGCGTCTCCTGGAACGCGTGGGCGTCGTTTCTGTGGTCCAGCTTCTGCTTCTGCATCCACAGCTTTGCTGCGGGCCCCCGGTTGGTGAGGTTGGCGCAAAACAGTGTGCGCTCTCGAGGCAGGTCGCCGCCTCCTCCTGTACAACCGGCCGCTTGCCTGATCGTGGCCTGCTGCTCCTGCGCCTTGAGCTGTGCCGCCGCCAGGTGGTCTCTCAACTGGGTGGAGAACGTATGCGCATTCAGCCGCATCTGCTGCGCGGCTGCTTGCTTAGCTGTTTCCACCTCGCGTCTTCTTTCTTCGTCCAGGTCTTCCGCTGTGAGGTCGAACTCCTTCTCCAGGTCCTGCGTGAGCTCGCCGTCCGCTACCTCCACCACGCCCCCGCACACCAGCCGCTCGATGATGCCTTTCGGGGCCTCCTCGCCTTCTGCTTGGATGGCCTCCAGGTCCCGCCCTGCCTTCAGCGCCGCCGCCGCCAGCTTCGCGAGGGCTGCTTGTGCCACGGCCGCGGCCTCCTCCGCTCTCTCCTTGGCCGCGAACGCCACGTTGAAGCCCCTGTTGGCCTGCTCCAGCTCCTTTGCCGCGATGCCTAGCCGCTCAACCCGTGACTTGGGCGGTGGCGCTGGCGTCGTTGCCTGGATCGTTGTGGCCGCGCTCTGCAGCGCGCGGCTGATGGCCTCGCCGCTCTGCAGCTGCATCGCGCCCAGTGACTCTGTCAACAGCTGAGGGGGCTTGGGTGATCTGCTCCGCGCCTTTGGTCTTGCCCTTGCCCTTGCCCTTGCCGCTGTTGCCCTTGCCGTCCTCCTCGTCTTTGCCTGCCGCCCCGTCCTTCTTCGGCTTCGGCAGCGCTGCTCTGCACGAGCACGTGTAGTACACGGCCTCACGGGGGGAGTTCCACCACCACTCGCCGCACTCCCATAACAGATCCCCTTGCGCACAATAACTATGGAAATCATGACGGGGCAGTTGTGGATGAACCACGTGCAGTCGTTGATGCCCTTGCCGTTCGCCGCCTGGCCGCCTGGCCGCCTGCCGCCATCTTGGGCGCCGCGCTGCCATGCCGCCGTGGTGCCGCTCCCGGACGTCTGCGTCCAGCGCACGTCGGAGCCTCCTCCTCCTCGACCTCCTCCTCCTCCTCCTCCTCTTCCTCCTCCTCCCTCCTCCCCCCCTCGACCTCCTCCTCCTCCCTTTTCCCCTCCTCGACCTCCTCCCCCCCTCCTCCTCGCGCGCCTCGGCGCGCCGCCTCCTCGGGCGGCGGTGCGAAGGGCGGGCGCCGCTCTCGGTCCGCGGCCGCGCGCCCCTCGTCGCGGGGGGGCGCTTTCGCTCCGCGGGCGCCGCGCCCGCCGCGCGGACCAGCATGCCTGCGGGGGAGGGGCCGCGCTGCGAGCCACCTGGTGGCTGGTGGAGAAGGGGAGAGGAGGAGGGGGGGAGGAGGAGGAGGGGGAGGAGGAGGAGGAGGAGGAGGAGGAGGAGGAGGAGAAGGAGGAGGGAGGAGGAGGAGGAGGAGGAGGAGGAGGAGGGAGGAGGAGGAGGAGGAGGAGGAGGAGGAGGAAGGAGGGAGGAGGAGGAGGAGGAGGAGGAGGAGGAAGGAAGGAGGAGCGAGGAGGAGGAGGAGGAGGAAGGAGGAAGGAGGAAGGAGAGAGGTGGTAGTGGGGTCGGTGGCGTGAAGCTAGCAGTCATGCTCACAAAGATGGAGGGGTGAGGGAGGAGGGAAGGAGAAGAAAAAGAGGAGGGTGGAGCGGGAGGGAGGAGGAGGGAAGATGTGAGGGGGGACGGGGGGAAGCTTGAGAGAGCATCAACGCGATCCAAGGACTTGCCGACCCTTCTCCGATCGAACTGCGGGGACAAGCTAGATACATCGAGGTACCGTGTAGTTCGATGCACATCCTAGGTCACTTCAGAGATATCCAGACAACTCTGGAGCAAGTCGTGGAGGCGCCAGCGCGAGCCGAGGGCTTCCAGAAGTCGGTAAACCCTCAACGATCGAAAGAGCCCTCGGGCCCGTGGACTTCTCCTGTGGCCGCGCCGAGGGATGCTTTGGCGCTTGCTTGGCACGGTGTCGCTGTTGGCAGTGCTTAGGCCTCTGGGAAAGATGGGGAAGATGGGAAAGATGGGGGGGGGCCCTCCTCTTCCTCCTGTCCCACCCTGTCCATCCTCCTCCCCTTCCTCCTCCTCCTCCTCCTCCTCCTCCTCCTCCTCCTCCTCCTCCTCCTCCTCCTCCTGACTGCTTGCTCTCTGGGAAAGATGGCACCGCCGTTTTTCCCCCCCCGCAGAGGGTGTGGCGCCCTGCGGCCACCAGCAGGGACTCCTCCCTTCCCTTCGCCCGCCCCCGCGGGCCCCGCGGACAGGTCCCGGCTCCACCGCCGCCCCTGCCTCCGAGGCGCTTCGAGGGCGTCTCGCGAGGCAGCCGCGCGGGCCGCCGCCGCCGCCCGTCGTCGTGGTCGGCGTCGTCGTCGTCGTCGTCGTCGTCGTCGGTCGTCGTCGTCGGTCGTCGCCGGTCGTCGTCGGTCGCCCTTCTTGTGGTCGCCGCGGAGGTTGTTCTCGTCGTCTCCCGCTGGTCTGGCAGTCAAAAGGGCCCTTGCGGAATTTTGTGTCCGTGTAAACTGGCACCACCACACGCGACGCAACAGATCGACAACACCACACCCGACGCAATCACTTGGCACCACCACCACGCCCGACGCAACAAATGCACACCACCACGCCCGACGCAACTCATCGACACCACAAAACCCGTTGCAACAAGTCGACATCACCGCTCCCGACGCAACAAAGACGCAACAACTCGCTACCAACACACCCGACACAACTGCTCGACGCCACCACGTTCGACGCAACAAATCGACATCACCACACCCGACACGACTATGTCATCGACACCACCACACCCGACGGCAGATGGACACCACCATGCCCGACGCAACAAGTCGACACCACCACACCCGACGCAATCACTTGGCACCGCCACACCGGGCGCAACAAATCGACACCACCACACCCGTCGCAGCAAATCGACGACACCACCGCTCCCGACGCAACAAATCGACACCACTGCTCCCGACGCAACAAAGACGCAACAACTCGCTACCAACACGCCCAGCACAACAAATCGACACCATCACACCCGACACAACTGATCGACACCACCACGCCCGACGCAACACATCGACATCATCACACCCGACGCAACTAATCGGCACCACCACGCCGGACGCAGCAAATCGACACCACCACACCAGACAGGTCAACTCGACACCACCTCACCCGACGAAACACATCGACACCACCACGACCGACACAACAAAGTGACATCACACCATCGCCACTACAGCTACCATTGATATTACAGCTACCACCATCGACGTCACGACCACTACTACCACATCGGCTGGGAATGGTCATTACGTCATTACCACTCCGGTTCCGACTCCAATTCTGACGCCCGATCCGATTCCATTTTCGATTCACTTCCCGACGATCTTCCCTACACGCTTCCCAGCGCCATGCCTGGAGCCCGTTCGGAAAACCTCCCGGCGATCACGGGCGTGACCAGCCCCGCCCCCCCCCTCACGTCACGGCGGTCGTCCTGTGGCGACCGCGGACGTCCTGTGGCGTTCGCAGGCTACTGTGGTGTTCAGAGGCACGCTGTGGTAGTGCGTCGGTCGTAGCGCGGCGCTCGTAGCTACCAGCGCTGTGGTGTACACAGGCGCTGGAGCTCCTCCTCCTCCTCTTCCTCTTCGTCCGGCCTTTCTGATTAGAATTTATTAGTATCCAGTATCGATTCGTTGACTTTGTGGCCTCTGGGCGCCCTGGGCCCTTAGCAGCCGCTGAAAAACCCCAACACAAGGAGTCGTATTGAAGTCTTCCACAAGGAGGTTCCTATTGAAACCCCCCACAAGAGGATCCTTATTGAAGCCTTCCACAAAAAGGAGTCCTTAAGCAATCCGCAGCAAAAAGACTCCGTCTGAAATCCTCCACGGAAGGATCCCCATTGAAATCCTCCGCAGAAGGATTCCGATTGAAATCCTCCCAGGAGGAGGAGGGGGAAGAGAAGCAGGAGGAGGACGAGGAGGAGGAGGAGGACAGGGGGGGAGGAGGAGGTGGAGGAGGAGGAGGAGGAGGAGGAGGAGGAGGAGGACGAGGACGAGGACGAGGAGGACGAGGAGGACGAGGAGGACAAGGAGGGGGAGCCTGGAAAGCAACGATGACAGCTGATTTGTAACCGGTATCGATTCGCCGACTTTCTGACTTCAGGGCGCCCCTGGGCCTTCCGGGGGCCTGGAACGGAACGATTGGAGTTTATATGTACCCGGTATCGATTCGTGGACGCTGTGGCCTCCGGGCGCCCTGGGCCCTTCCTGGGGCCTTCCTGGGGCCTGTAACGGAACGATTAGTAGTTGTTTCGGTACTTGGCCTAATGTTAATAGCATCCTTATTTTCCTAGGTGCCACCAACGTCTCGTAGAACCCAAATCGGTGAAAATCATACGTGAGAAAAAACATATTTTCAGTGAGTGCTGAGTTCGGGTGAAAATCATAGCCGCAGAAACATGCCAACATATGTGAGGACCCTGATGCGGTTCCATGATTCGCTGATCCTTGTCAGGGGCAGGGCCATGTTTGTTCTGGGAACACGTGTGCATATCTTCTAACAAACCCCACGCAGCCCCACGCGATGCTTGCATGTGCCGCCTTGCCCCCGCAATTCTCACAGCAGCCGTTCGGTTTTTTCTGCATGGCACATATCTGAATCCATAGTTTTTCTGACGGAAGCTTGTCTGCAGCGATGTCCAGCCAGTGCGCCCATCGAGCACCGAGTGGATATTCAACAGTATCAGCACGTCGTGATTGCGCTGTCTCCTCACACGTAGTTGCTCAGTCAGCAGGCCTTGCCAAATTAGTGAGGAGCGCTTCTTTCGTTTTCAGCATCAACCGATTCGACGATTGCAGCAGTTTCATTTGCAAGCCCAAGTCTGTCACTGGAATTTGCGATGGCCCCATCAACCAGCGAGCCGCTGCAAGTATTGCCAAAGAGTTCAGCAGAAGGGGCAACAACATATGTATGCCGACGTTCAACACGTGCGAACATATCTTAATCCATCGTCGTGCCCAGCCTGGAGATGTTGCTGCCCTGGCAGGGGCGGAGGTTCATTCTCCTGCCGTCGTTCTTCCGCCAGCAAATGCAGGCACACTCGAGACACGACTCAGCAGGTCGAGCGTCGATCCAGCATGCGGGGCTGGCACTTCGATCGGCGGAGGTCCGCTCGAGCTGCGCCATGTCATAGTCGAGGCGCCCTGGAGGACCATCATCTTTTGCCGAGACAACCTCGTAACGAACAGTTGCGTCATACGCATGGGGGAGAACGCGGTCCAGACAGCCAACGCTACGGCACCAGATGACGACCACCATGTCGCGCTGCTCGACGTACGGTGCGCATCACTCGGGCGTCCTGTGCCAGGGACGGTTTCCAGACAGCATCGACAATTTGCCCTCGACAGTTGTTCGTCTTGGCCATGTCTTGGATAGCGGGAGGGCAGCGCAGACTTATTCAGAGTGCATGAAGGAAATTCCAAGTCGCTCGTTGTCGTATCCGAGGTGCGCCATGTTCCCGCCAGAATTTCAGAAATGGCAGGCGATGGCGCGCCGAGTCCTCGAATGCAGCAGGCCAGCTCAGAACCTTTCCCCATCCCAGGAAGAGATGATTCTAAGTGGCGACAGCGGCGCTTCGGATTCGGATTGCGCGGTGCACTACTGCTTGGGCGACGGATGCCCGCTGGGCTGCAGGGGCGAGGCGCACAGCTAGGGCCTCGTGGTCGACCTCCTTGTGCTGTCCTTGTGCAGCCAGCTGGTCGTTGCGCTGGAATATAGGTGGAAGGGGTTCGACTCGGCCGGCGCGCGGGCGTTCAGGGGCAGGGGCCAGCGCCGACTGTTGGCCAGAGCCTTGGAGAAGATGTTGCCGCCAGCGAGGGTCAGGCAGGCCGAGCAGGCGATGCAGGGCACCCAGATGCTTGGCAGGGGAGCGGGCTGGTCTGTGAAGAACAACGTGAAGGGCGGCAGCGTCGCCCAGGCGTTCGCGAGGGACGACCCTCGCGCGAGCAATCTAGAGCTCGCCATCGTCTTGGGCGAGCCCGCCCAGAGCTTCCTCAACAAGTCGTTCGCTGCAGAGAGGGTTCCTCTGGCACGTGCGCAGGCGGCCCCTGCGCGTTCCAGCGGGGGCCGGCAACCCGCCGCTCAAAGTCGCCGAGGTCGAGGCGAAGGCCGTCGACGCGAACTGGGCCATCGCCAGCGGTTCCGAGGGCAGCGCGGTCATATGCAAGCTCGCGGCGTTCTTATTCTGCTGGGAAGTGGAAGGACCGATTGCGAAGCGGAACGGGGTTGGCCGCGGGGGGCGGGGGTGGGGGCGTCTAGGGGCGGGCCTGCCTGCCGCCCCTGCCCGCCACCCCCCCTGCCGCCCTTCGCTGTTCTTTTCGCCCGCCGAGGAGTTGAAGTTGCCGCGCGAGAAGGGGCACAAGGCGAGCTTGTGCATCATGAAGGGCATGGCCGAGGCGTGGCAGCGCTTGGTCTTCGTGCACCAGCAGCCGAAGTTCGAAATCTTCGCGCTCGCAGCGGCTAGGGGGTAGAGCCAGGATGCCGTTCGCAGAGTACTCGGCCCACTCGCGGCGTGGAGGGGGCGCTGCGCCGACTGCGTCGATCAGTTCACGTGTGCGTGGCTGAATCGCCTGCAAGACCCATGTCGTTCACGCAGAGCATGCAGATCGTTGAGGTCGATGTTGAGCTGCCTGCCAGTGAAGTCGACCCGATGCGAGAGGAAGCATTTGATTCGTTAGGAGCTGAAGAGAGTTCGATCCCGAGGTGGGGCCCCGACGGCCACATCGACGGCACGGCGTACTTACATCGCATCAGATTGTCAATCGCATTCGAGCACATTGGAAGATGTGACGGCAGATGTGTTACCTGGTCGTGGCATGCGGAAGTCATTTTCACAATGCCCGTCGGCTTTCGACGCGGGTGGTGGGATGAGACGCAGGTGCGATGCGCGCGCGGGGGGAGTGAGGTTGCATGCAAGAGCTTTGACGGCTCCTCCAAGACAAAATCGTGCGCGGTCTTACGATGCATTTGCATCTCAGAATTTTGGTGGAGCTGCTGGAACGATGGCGCGATGCAGCCAGGCGCTCAAGAGATGGAAAGACTTGCCGGGCGAATCCAAGTACGCTTACGCGGCGCGAGCTGCTGCTGAGAACCGGGTAGTGGAAGAAGCCTGGGGCATGGGCCTTCACCAGTTCAGCAGGTCAAATCTGGCTCAGTCACTGCGCAGGGGATTGAAGCTAGGCCTCAGGTGGTCCAGCGTCATCGCGACCCTGCGGAAGTTTAGCGACCACCCTGCGTGGGAGACAGGCGCCAGC